CGCAAAGCCCACAGCTCAGGGGCTCAGGTGCACCCAAAGATCAAGTCCCGTCATGGGGCTATAAATGCGTCTCCTTCCTCTGCAGATTCACCGCTGCATCATTAAGTCCATCATCCTGCCACATCCGTTATGTCTGCCTCCTTCAAATAACAGGGCAAGAGGCTGGGGATGTAGCTTCCCGGTAAAATGCTTGCCTGCAGGAAAGTGGTCCAGGCCATGTGATTTTCAGCACTGTGGGGAAAAAGAAGAGAAGGAAGAAGAAAAGGAAGAAGAGGAAGAGAAGAAAGAATGGGAAGGAAGAGGAGGAAAGGGTGGTGATGATGTTAATAATAATTCCAGTTAGAACAACCTGAAGAGATGAAGAGATATAAGACCTGGATATAGAGTAAATTTTAGAATTGCCAGACCCAGGCTTGTCTTAACACTATGAATAATACAATACAAGGGCTTTCAGGGGAAGTAGACAACGTGGCCGGAAATACAATGTAAGCAGAGGAGGGGCTTTTTCTAAGGGAGATACAGAGAAGGCTAGAGGTGAAAACTTAAAATTCTGGAGCACAACGGGCTTATTAGAATTCTGGACATGACAGACCAAAAAAAAAAAAAAAATCCTCTGAACTTGACGATATGGTCTTAGAAACTTCCAGATAGAGCAGCCAGGAGAAAAGAATGGTTACCCATTCCCAAGTCAGAATATCCAAGAACTGCTGGACATCATGAAAGATATAATGACATATAATGGGGGCAGCAGACAGAGGGGAGGCCAAGAAAGCAGTAGGGAGATACTGAGGCAAAAAGGAGTGGGGATTTTCTCCAAATTAATGCCAGGCATGGAGCCACTAATGTAGAAGGCTTAGGGGGGTACCGAGCAGGATAAAGGCCACAAAGACAACACAGGATAAAGGCTAACTCTAAACAAAGACAAGGCTTGAGGAGAAATGCTCAGCCCAGGCAGAAAAAAAAAAGACACAAGGATGCTCTCCCAAAGCACAAGGGATTTCACGTTGAGAAGGAACACTCTAGACGTGTACATCCTACAAAATTCTTCAAAAGCAAAGGAGTGTGACTCTGATAAGCAAAACCCTGAGCAATGTGTGGCCAGATGTGAAAGATGGGTGTGTTAGGAAGGTGTTTAGAGACATGGAAAACGGCCGGGTCTGAAATGTGAATCTCCATAAACACAGCAGAGAGCGAGAAACAGAAGGCAAAGCTCAGAAAACTCACTTTTCTTAGTTTTAATTGATTTCCTACATGATAGTGTATTCAAAACAGTGACAGTAATAATGTGCATATGTCTTATATACACTTTATAAAAAATGCTTTATATGTGTGCATGCATGTTAAATGAAATAATTGACAGAAATACTATGAGGAATGAATGAGAGGGAGGAACTGGGTTAAATCGTTTTTTTTTTTTTTAATTTTTAAATTTTTATTTTATGTGTATTGATGTTTTGCCATGGGTGTCAGGTCCCCTGGAACTGGAGTTACAAACCGCTGAGCTATCTCTTCAGCCCCCTAGGTTAATTGGCTTTTAAGCTGCTTATACTCCCCGTGAAGTGGTAAAATGTTATTTGAAAGTAGAGATTCAAACTCAGGTCTTAGTACTTATGAGACAAGTGCCTTCCAAACTGGGCCATCCTCCCCAGTCCAGAACTGCCAGGCTTTGATGGAGCTGGGGTCACGGCACACAGCAGTTTGCTGTCACCCACACTTTCCTGAGTGCCTTTCATCATCATTTTCCTGGTGACGTTAGCTCTGCCCTCTCACTTGGTCTGTTTATTTGCAATTTTTGCTATGGTTTTGGGTAAATAAATTTTGATTTTTACTGTGAAAACTCTAAACAAAATGAATAAAATATCTCTGTTATTATCTGTTCTCAAATATTCCCTGTCTTCAAAAGATGCTGTTACCATGGAGATTTGTACTGCCACCCCATTCATGTCACTTGGATTCAGATAATCCCCACCGGTCCACAAGGGCAAATTTCTTTATAATTTTATCATCTCTTCTGAAATCTATTTTCTTAATTGAGTCTTCCTGTTTAAAATATGTAAACGTGTGGCTGGGGAGACAGCTCAGTGGGAAGAGCGTCTGCCGTACAAGCAAGAGGACCACATAAAAGGTGGATGCAGTTTGTAAACTCAGCTCTGGTGTTGGTGGCGATAGGTACATCTCTAGAGGTCATTGGCTGGCCAGGCTAGGCAAACTAATGGCATCCAGCTTCAATGAGAGACCCTGTCTCAAAATATAGGATGCAGAGCAATTGAGGAAGATAGTACACATATGTACAGACAGACAGACAGACAGACAGACACACACACACACACACACACACACACATACACACACATCTAGTAGGTTCAGCTTCACTTATCATAAAACTATAGAAATGGAATGAGAACCTCTTTCTTACCCCATTTTGCCCTTTTCTTTATATAGAGATTATGAGCTTCCTATGCATGTTTGCTGTGGTTACCACAAGTACATACCCTTGCTAATTAGCATGCTTTGTAGGTGTGCACACTAACGGCCAGTTGTCTTGTCCTGTGTGAGCTCAGTGACTTGTTCGAAGATTTACCCACTGGAGAAGGCAGCTCCAGTTCCTCTGTTTGTTTTATAGTTCATACGGTGCAACTTACTCCTACTTATTCTGATTTAGGCCATTTCTGTGTGCTTTGTTTTCTATGATGATATAATGAATACTCAAGTACGTACACACGTGTACACACACACACACACACACACACACACACAAAATGAGCACATGACCATTTCTCTGCCATAGAAAATAGGAACAAACTGCTGAAACTGCTGGGTCATGGTAGCTCATCTTCATTGTTCTAGATCAGCAGTTCTCAACCTGTAGGCCGTGACCTTCGGAAACCACATGTTTCTGATGGTCTTAGGAACTGAGACACTGCTCAGGAGCAAAATTGTAGTTATGTAATGGCCACAAAAATAAGTTTATGGTTGAGGGTTCCTAAGATCATCAGAAATACATGTCTTTGGATGGTCACAACCAGTAAGTTGAGACACACTGTTCTAGATGAAGCCAAATTTCTCTCCCAAAGTCTTTGATTGTTTTCTAAAACTATTATTTTAATCACACATATTTATGGAGCAGTGTGTGATGATGCATATAATGTGTAATTCTAACTTTGGTGGCCCACATTCCCGTTTGACAACTTTTTATTAGCAGGCATTCATTTTTCTTCTATTTCTTGTATGACATTATGAAGTTTTGATTTTATATTAAGTCTTTATGTGAGGTTTGAACAGCATGAGTGAAGGACTGCATCGTGAGTTTTCCTCTTGAATATGTCAGGGCATTAAGAAGTAGCTCTCCTCTCTGCATGATTCCATAACTCTCTTCCACTCTGATAACACACTTGCCCATCTCTGACCCAATTCCACACTGTCTTAATTGATTATGACGAACAGCTTTCTGGTAAGCAAGTTCGCTGACTTGTTTCTTCAGAACAACTTCTCATTTACATCTCTCTGCTTTTTCAAAATGCGTTTCAGGATTGGTTTTCCCATTGGGATTTGGGGCTGCATCCAAGATCGCCTTGGAGAGGGGCCCTGGCCTCATCATGTAACTTTCCATCACTCCTGAGCATGCTCCATCTCTCCATTTGTCCCAGTCTCCCTTTCCACCTCTCTGAGTGTCTGGCAATGCTCTCCTCGGAGGCTGTGCCCACCTTCTGCTTTGCGCTTTAGTCACTGTAACCAATGGTGTTTTCTGTGCCATGCTCTAACTGACTGTGTCAGTGTGGAGGAAAACCGCGGATGCCTAGCGTTCTGCTCCAAACCTCCGTTGGTCCCCCCCCTTACTACTGCAAGTTTGTAAGCTCTCTGAGACTGTTTATAGAGAAAATCCATTAGCTGACATTTGTTACATTTAACCATTGCCGGCAACACCCTGGCTTTACTAGGAAAGTTTCTGTGGGTTTTACCACTGGATATGACACTTACTTTAGATTGGAGGGAAGGTATAACTTTTCACAGATAATTTTGAAATTTATTTGTATTTATATGTATGTGTCTGTGTCTGTGCACATACGGGTGTAGGTACCGGAAGAGGGCAGAAGAAGGTGATATCTCTCCCTAGAGAGGGAATTCAGGCAATTGTGAGACTCCATGTGGGTGCTGGGAACTGAATCCCAGTCCTCTGAAAGAACAGCAAGAACTCTTAATCCCAAGCCATCTCTCTGGCCCTGAGAATGTATAACTTTCAACTGTTGGATGGTGGGTTGGTAATATTTGCAACATGTTTGGAAACTATAGGTCACAATTCATCATTGTGTTGTAAAAGTGATTTTTAAAAATAATAATATAATAAAATAATAAAATAATATAAATAAAATATATAATATATAATAATATAAATAAAATAATATAATAAAATAAAAATAATAATGTAATAAGTAATAGTGATTTTTAAAAACTGGAATAAGATAATAGTATCAGAATGCATTACTCTTATTAAAAGTAGTCCTTGTTTATTAAATAGTCTTATGTCTTTCTAGCTATTAGCCAACCTACCTGTGTTCTACCTGTATGCACATACATGCATAAATGTTTATGCTGCATTTTAGCATAGAATATGTTTATATTAAATGTAAAGATGCATTTTATAAAGGGTCTGCATTTAAAACTTTAAAAAAATCTATATTATATCACAGTTTTAAATTTTGTTCTTCAGATTTACTCTAAATACACTATTTTTTTTTACCTTTTTTTTTTTTGTCTTTTACATTTTTCATTTATTAACTTCGTGTGTGTCCACATGCTCACACGTGTACTGTAACATCCACGTCATGTACATGTGTGGAGATCAGAGGACAACTTGAAGGTGTTGGTTTTCTTCATCACATAGGTTTCGGAGCTCAAACTCAGGTCAAAGTGTCTTTTATCTGCCAAGCCATGACATTGGCCTAACAAGCTTTTATACCTTTAAAATGGTTCAGCTTCAAAATGTTTTGTAAATCCTTAAGGTGAATCCTTAAGGTGATACTTACTGCCACTGTCTAAAGACATGGGGGAATTGAAGCAATAATTTTCAAGCTTACCATTTTATGCTAAATTCCCCCAAATTCTGAACCAATAGTACTAAGTCAGTATATTTGCCAGGAATTTCAGTCAGTACTTAATTTTTATGCTACTGTATTAAGATCAAGTTTATGCTATAGTAACTCCTGAAGCATGTGTGTGTGTAATACATAATGTTGCTTACTCTTATTTGCACATTTGATGAAGTATCTGACCAAACTGCTGATCTCTTGCATCTTTTTCTGTCTGGAGGTCTGTGTGGAGGCTGATACATTTGATTTTGCGGTTCTCAGACATTCTGTTTCTTTTTTAATATAATTCTGCAAAAACCTGAAAACAGCATCCCAATTCAGATAGTTCCCCTGTTTGGAATCTGAATGCCTATCTAGGTGTTGGACTGTTTCAGGATCCTGAATCAGACGCTTGAATTTCTCCACTTCTTTCTGAAAATGGGGGAAAAAAAAAAAAAAAAAGAACATAATAACAATTACATACTGTGTTACCTATCACACATTTGTTTCAAGAGAAACAATGTCAAATAATTTATTACCCTTCGTTCTGTAGCTCTATCATGTTCTAATTGCCGGCAGCAAATGAGCAAATCATTAAGTGCTAGACTCATGGTTTAAGACTTCAGAACATACATCCTCACCGTCGCTGCATCTTGTCTACAAACCGCCTTTTCCCGCGTCCACGGATCACTCTGCAGCTTTTCCACGCACGCCCTCCCGCTTCCGGTTCAAAAGCAGCACGTCGCTCCAGCGTGGGTCCCCAAGTTTGAGTCCCGGCACGGCGCGTGCGCGTGCGCGTGCGCGCCGCGGGTCACGCGCTCGCCAACTCAAAACATTCGCCCCCCCCCCCACTCCACACACTCCGCCTTTTTTTACCTTTTTAACCTGTCAGTTTCTGATAGAAATGTTTATAAATATCTTAAACTTTGCTTATAGATTTTCCAGCTTTCTGTATAATTTTGTGTATTTATAGATTTTAAAGCCATATTTTAAAAGGAGATAAAAATTCATATTTTTATATCTTCCTGGTAGATACCATTGTTATGTCAGGTCTTTTGATTCTCCTTAGCTATTGTATGAAATTAACATCACTTCACTAAATTTATTTGGCTAGAGATTGTGTTTTCTAAATATTTATTATCTATCTATCTATCTATCCATCCATCCATCCATCCATCCATCCATCCATCCATCCATCATCTATCTTTGTGGTGTGTGTGTGTGTGTGTGTGTGTGTGTGTGTGTGTGTGTGTGTGTGTGTGTGTGTGTGTGTGTGTGCGCGCGCGCGCAGGAGCTCATGTGGTGGTATGCATGTGGAGGTGAATAGACAACTTTCAGGAGTCATTTCTTGCTGCCTGTATTGCTGAGGTCTCTCTGCCTTCTGCAGCTGCCTGGTGGACTCTGGTCCAGCTGCCTTGTAGGCTCCTGTATCCTGCTGATTCTCCAGCCTCCCCCTCCCATCTTGCCTTAGAAGTGCTGAGGTTACAGATGTGCACCACCTTGTCTCGCTTTTCATGTGGGTTCAGGGGCTCACACTCAGTCCTTGGGCTTGGTGGCGAGTGCTTTTGCCTGCTGCACTGTCTCCCAGGACTCTGGTTAGAACTTTCCTATCTTTCTGTCCGGATCTGTTTTCAGTATATTATATCTTTAACAAGTAAATGGATTTAAAACTCAATCCAATATGCTACCACATCTTTTGCAATGGATACATTTAGTTCCATTACAATTATTGTGATAAACTTTTATTTCTTTTGCATTTTCTCTTTTCTTTTGACATTTTCCTTCTGTTTTTCTACCACATCTTTTAGATTTTTCATTAAATTAGTATATTATTTTAAAAATTATTCTCTGTTGGTTGCTAATCTATCCCTTCAGTGTTTAGGTTGCAGTTTTAACACTTCTGATTTGAATTAAATGCATTTTAACTAACATGTTGTTATTTACCATTTTGGTCCTTCTAAACATAGGATTTTGTCATGCTCAATCAGTATTTAAACTTACAAACATACTTGACTAATTTTAATGGTTGTTTTATTGTTTCTTCTGTCTCCGCCTTTGCTGTGGCTTCATTTTTTTTCTATGAAGTGAAACCTTTACTAATTGTGTCAATGTGGATCCATTTGCCCGGAGTTCATTTCATCTTCACACTTATAAAAAAATCTTCCTTTTTCTTTTTCAAATTATATCTCTTTGTCTCTCATTACTCTGTCTCTCTGTCTGTCTCTGTCTATCTCTCTTTCTCTGTGATGTGTTCCTGTGGAGGTCAGAGGACAACTTTGTGGAGTTGGTTCTCTCCTTCCATTTGTATGTGGGTTCTGTGGATTGATGTCCCTAGGCTGGCACTGTGAGGCAGCTAGTCCCTTTACCCCATGAGCCACCCTGATGGCCCACCTTCAGAGTTTCCATACTTCTTAGTACTTTCCTGAAAACTTTACACAGTCACCACAGGCCAAGTCATTGCAGAGAATCCAGTCCTGCTGGCAAGCCTGGTGATGGCCTTGGCATGCCCATGGCCTCTTCATTCTGTGCATCCCTCCTCTCACTGTTTCCCTGAGCTCCTTTCTTCTCATACAGGCCATAGCTTGTGAGTCTGTGCTTGGGCTCATTTTTCTTTGCAAACCCAAGGAACCATGAATCATGCCAAAGCCATCTTTCTTGTCACCATCAAACAGTTATGAATCCAAACACAAAGATGATGTCTGGTGTGGTCTCTGACATCGTGTCTACTTCCTTCTAAATTTCCTGTCTTGGGTAAGGTGAAGGGCAGGGCTTGTCATATGTTTCCTTTGAAGGATGGTTGTGAATTTCTTGGTGAGCATTCTTTCTATGCATTCATGATGATGGTGGGTCCTCAGACAGCCAAGGAGAGGGACCCCTCTTACCCTTAAACAGTAACCAAGGTAGATATTATTTCTTTTCTTTTCCAGTCCCTTCCATTTCCCTTTCTATCTTTCTTTCTTTCTTTCTTTCTTTCTTTCTTTCTTTCTTTCTTTCTTTCTTTCTTTCTTTCTTTCTTTCTTTCTTTTTCTTTCTTTCTTTTTTTGGAAGGGTCTCTCTGTATCCAAGGTTGGTCTAGAAGTCAGCATATAGTTGAACCGTATACTGGTCAGCCTTGAACTCAAAGCAATTCTCTTGCCTCAGCATCTTGAGTTTTTGGATTATAGGCGTGAGCCTCCAGGCCTGGCTTGAAATGCCACCTAAATTAAAGATATCACTACATCGTCTTCTGGCCATAGTTGCCACTGACAAGAAGCTCATCGGGACCCTTCTGGCTTCTTTTGTTTTTGCCTTTTCTCATGGTGGCTTTTGGATTTTCTTCTTACCACCAGTGACCTGCACTGTGACTACAATGTGCTGTGTCTGTCCACTGAGAGTTCTTTCCATCAGAGGATGTCTGCCACCTACATCTGTGAAAACTCTCAGTTCTGGGCTGGCAAGATGGCTCAGTGGGTAAAGGTGCCTGTCGCCAAGCCTGACAACCCGAGTTCAATCCCTGGGACCCACATGGTGGGAGGAGAGGACTGACTCCCACAGTTGTCTTCTGACCTCCATGCATGCCATGAGCACACAGACAGACAGACAGACAGACACTCATGTACATACACACACACACACACACACACACACACACACACACACAGAGTAGGTACACAAAATAGGCATAGCATCAATAGCCTTAATATTAAAAAAAATCCTAAAAATTAATAACATGCTACCTAAGAGACTTAAATTCTTATACCAGTTTATAGACAAAATACACACAGCCGGCCATCCCAGGATGGAATGATGCTTAAGTTCACAGGCTATCAGAGCACTGCACATTAAGTAACAACAACAACAACAACAACAACAACAACAACAACAACAACAACAAATTCTCAGCTCTGGTTGGTTTGTTTGAGGCAGGCTCTCAGTTTGTAGGCTGGCTTTGACCTTGTGATCCTCCTGCCTCAGCATCCCAAGTGCTGTGACTACAGTCACCAGGTCCAGCTCCAAAATTCTCAGCTCTCCTCTCTTCTGATATCCATTGTCCATCATCTTCTCCAGCCTCGTCTTTTGGAACACCAGCCAGATATGTGTCAGAGTTTCTTAGTTTAGCTCCCTTATCTGTTAATGACCCTCCTAAAACCCCTTTACCACTCAGCTCCAGGCTGGGGGGGGGACGACGGGGGATGGGGGTGGGGTGGGGATGGGATGGGACTTCACAGCTGTTTATCAGTTGACTGCCATCCTCTTTGAAAGACAACTAGGACTCGCCTTATTTGTTTGAGATTCAGTTTTGAAAGTGAATTTTTTTTTAGTCACAATATATGTTTGTTCCTTCTCCCCTTAAAGCCCACCTGGTATTGCTCCACTCATGCCTGCTTTGTGTTGTGTTACTTCTAGTCACAATCAATGGAAGCAACTCCTGGGAACGTTTTAGATAAAGTTGTCGTAGCCCGTTTTACAAAATTAATTTTATCAATGAGTGTTCCATGTTTCAGTCAGTGATTTTGATGACTTCCTAGACTGTGCTCTTTAATATGAAGTTTCTTGAAGTGTACGGCTATAGTTTGGAAAATACAGTGTGACTGTATGGTGTGTGCTCATGTACATATACATGTGTGCATTTGGCTTTCTGGTCTCACCCTGTTTGTCTAGAACTTTGGAGCATTTGCTCTCTAGATCTAGAGGGTCTGTCTCTAGGATAGTTCCAGGTGGGGTTGGCTCTGTGGTGACCCCGGGGCTAGCAGTGGGCTTGTCAGACATCAGGTGGCTGCTCTTGGGGCTCTGTATCCTGGTAGAGGTCTGACTGTAGCAAGGAGAGACCCATTCCCACCCCTGGCTTTGAGCAGCAAGCCTGCCTCTGATCCACTCTTGCGCCCAAAGCATGCTATGTTCTCATTACACGCAGGAGCCAAGGCAGAAGCTGCCACTAGGTGCTTGTGGCCCGGAACACGTCAGTCTGGTGGCCTCAGACCTGTTCACCATTCTAATTCATTTTTGCTCTCGCCAGTGGGGATGTCGATCTTTCTGCTTCCTTTTCTTTGTTTTATCAGCCAGCGCCATGTGTCTGGAGTGAAGGGGGCAGATGAAAGCGTTCTCCAGTGCTTCACCTGGACTGGAAGTCTGTGTCTCTGTAAAGATTTTCATGCTGATAGTTCATACCTTTAGCTCACACCAGCTACATGCTTAAAGTAGTCTATTTATTAAAATAATTTAGCTGCCATTTATTACAGAAAGACATTACAGCATCTGTATCGTTAAAGCAATCGTAAGAGGCTCTTTTCAGTGAGTCCTTCTGGGCTCCTCAAAGAGCTTGGTGTTTCCCTCAGCCCAGGGGCCTGAAGGACACTAGGATTCTAATGCTGAGCTAGGTTCAGCCAGAGTGCAACCTGTTTGCCACCAGAACGCAGCCAGCATCCCACACAGTGGCCAAGCAGCTTGGGGACCCCTGGGAGCCACCCGGTCCTGGCCCGGCATCCCGGCTCCCTTTGATGACTACTCATGGCAAGCCACACAACCTTCCAAGACCCGTTTCATATTAACGATGCCCCGTGTCTAAGGTGCCTACACACAGCACCTGGCACACAGGAAGAGTGATACGTGTTCGCCACAGCTATCATTATGGTTCAATCATGCTTTTAGATGTCATTAGCTTTGGGAAATCAAACAGCCAAACCGTGGGGTTCTGACCCAGACAGAAAGTCCATTTGAAAACAAAACAGAACAACAAAGCAGCCTTGCTCTTTCCCAGATGTCACGTGTTGTCCAGGCAATGAAAGTCA